GAGAAGCAGGCTCCCCGCCGAGCAGGGAGCCCAATGCGGGGCTCGATCCCAGGACCCTGGGATCATGACCTGAGACGAAGGCAGACACTTAACTGACTGAGCCACCCAGGCACCCTATATTTTCCTTTTTTAAGATATGTTTTTTTCAGTTTAGTTTCAGCAGACTTCTTACCAAACTCTCAGCCATGAAATAGAACCACAGTTGAAATGTCCCTGGTTGTGGATTTCCGTGGGAGCTGGGTTCCCTGGCCACCAGACATCACCATGAACTGCTCCCTCTCCTGGTGACATAAGCATTTAGTCATGCCACAGACAGGAATACTGACTGAATTTTTGTTTTCCATTTCAGGAAGCCAACAAGCTGTGCATTCAGGAGAGGCTGAACGCCATTTCCAGCTGGATCCCCGAGAAGGCCAGTGCCCCTCTGAACCCTCAGGAGGAGGAGGGGAAGATGGTGCCTTCAGGCCTGACCAAACCATGGCCCTCCTGAGCCCACACAGACATGCCGCACAGGCTCCACTTCCAGTAGTCCACAGCTCCGGGGAGCCCACCCAGAGAGAGGGAATCCCAAGTCCCAGAGCGCCGGGGCTCCCTGGCTTGCAGGAGGCCTGCTCCGGGGAGGGCACCCAGCACCCTTGCGCTGTCTGCGGGGAAAACTTTTGGAAGGAGGACCACTCAGAGAAGCACCAGAGGAGCCACCTGAAGGACCAGCCATGGAGGTCCTGGAAGAAATTCAGCAAACAGACCGCCCCACAGCAACAGCGGAGCATCCGTCAGGGTCCCAGGCGCTTCCGGTGTCCTGACTGTGGGCGGAGCTTCCACCGGAAGCAGTGTTTGCTCGGCCACGTGGCTGGCCACGCAGGGCAGAGCCCGCTGCCCTGCCCGCAGAAGCAGACCCTTCTCGGCCACTGCGTCCGGCACAAGGGGGAGAGGCCTTCCCAGTGCCCCAAATGTGACGGGAGCTTTCTCTCGAAGAGCAGCAAGCAGGCTTGCCAGGGCCAGCCCGGCAGGGAGAGGCTAGGCTCCTGGAGAGGAGGCGATGGCGCCTTCCCCGGGAAGGCTGAGGCGGCCGCTGAGGAGCTGTGCCCCCGGAAGGGGGCCGGGGAGGCTCCCCCGCGCCGCCCCCCCGGGGAGAGGGCCTTCTCCTGTGCGGAGTGTGGTAAGCGCTTCACCGCAAGGTCCAAGCTCGCCAGCCACCTCAGGGTGCACACGGGAGAGAAGCCCTTCCGGTGCCCGGAGTGCGACAAGAGCTTCCGCCTGAGCGGCCTGCTGAAGGTGCACCAGCGCGTGCACAGCGGCGAGCGGCCGTTCTCCTGCCGGAAGTGCGGCAAGGCCTTCGCCAAGCGCTGGAAACTCACCGAGCACAGCCGAGTCCACAGCGGGGAGAAGCCCTTCTGGTGCGCCGAGTGTGGTAGGAGCTTCCGCCAGCGGGGACGGCTGCTGAGGCACCAGCGCCTGCACACCGACGAGAAGCCCTTCCAGTGCCCCGAGTGTGAGCTGAGCTTCCGCCTCAAGAGCATGCTGCGGGCACATCGGCTCCGCCACAGCGGGGAGAGGCCCTTCTCCTGCGGCGAGTGTGGCCGAGGCTTCACCCACCAGTGCAAGCTCCGGGAGCACCTGAGGGTGCACAGCGGGGAGAGGCCCTTCCGGTGCCCCGAGTGTGACAAGAGCTTCCGCCTGAAGGGCATCCTGAAGGCGCACCAGCGCACGCACAGCAAGGAGAGGCCCTTCTCGTGTGGCGAGTGTGGCAAGGGCTTCACCAGACAGTCCAAGCTCACCGAGCACTTCCGCGTGCACAGCGGGGAGAGGCCCTTCCAGTGCCCCACCTGCGACAGGAGCTTCCGCCTGAAGGGGCAGCTGCTGAGTCACCAGCGCCTGCACACGGGGGAGAGACCCTTCCAGTGCCCCGAGTGCGGCAAGAGCTACCGCGTGAAGGCCGACATGAAGGCCCACCAGCTGCTGCACGGCGGGGAGATGCCCTTCTCCTGCGAGTGTGGCAAGGGCTTTGCCAAGCAGTCCAAACTCATCGAACACGTCAGGACCCACACAGGGGAGAAGCCTTTCCAGTGTCCCAAGTGTGACAAGAGTTTCCGCTTGAAGGCTCAGCTGCTCAGCCATCAAGGCCTGCACACAGGGGAGAGACCTTTCCGCTGCCCCGAGTGTGATAAGAACTTTCGGGAAAAGGGACACATGCTTCGGCACCAGCGCATACACAGGCCTGAGAGGCCATTTGCCTGCGGCGACTGTGGTAAGGGCTTCATTTATAAGTCTAAACTGGCCGAACACATCAGGGTGCACACGAAATCCTACAGTGCTCCAAGTGAGCCTGACATTAAGAAGAGGCTCAGCCAGCTGTTTGCAATGATCGAGGCTGACTGGAGTTGAGGCCGTGGAGGGCATCCGGAGCCTTCAGCGGAGTCCCATGTGGCCTGGGAATCCACAGCGGCCACAGCCAAACCCACCGGGAGACAGATTTTAGGAACGGGGAGCCCCCTTTTGAGCAAGAATGTAACGCGAGTTAGGAATATGAGAAACCACACAGGATTTTCTCGGTTAGCTCATCACCTGTTATATTTCCTATCTACTGATGAAAGAGATACCTGTTCTTCCTGCCGTCTTAAGTGGTAATTTCCCCGCAAATGCTAAGCTAGCTCTGAAATCCCAGCTTGAACTAAGACAGTCAGTCCCTCCAGTACTGTTCTCAAAGCTGAGGAGATGGGGTGGCTCTTAAACATCCACTTGACTCTTTTTCACAGTGTGACCCTAAACTGGGGGGTTTAAATCCAGTGGATTTTGTTGCAGGCCTGATATGATGTTGGATTTGGTTTTGATTAATTTATTTTGAAACTGATAGCAATAAAACGAGCTCTCTGAATCCCAGTCTGTCTGTCTATGTGAATGCTGAGGTCTCACGGCAGCTTCCACAGTGGTTGTGCATAGTTCCCCCTAAGGAAAAGCGGATAATTTCAGCAAAGTTTGGCTCATCTGAGTTGAAGAAACATAAAAAGCAGGGGTGCTAAGATCTATGGGGCTAGAATATAGATACAAGATGGGTTTGGGAGCTGCAGAACAGACACTTTTGGAAGCCAAGACAGTGAACGGGATTCTGAGTGACCAAGCGGTGACCAAATCTGAGTAGAGACAAAATTACAAAGCCAAGGGATGCCTGGCTGGCTCAGTTGGTAGAGCGTGCAACTCCTGATCTCGGGGTTGTGAGTTCGGGCCCCGTGTTGGGTATAGAGATTACTTAAACATAAAATATTCCGGAAAAAAGTAACAAAACCAAACAGCTTTGTCATGCAGCACTACAGGCAACAACAGTGTAGCGTGGAGAATTTTCAAGCAAATGTTAAAAAAAGTAAACATAATACAAGTAGTACAAGTAGAAGTCCAGGAACCTACCCCATTTGTTACATGAGGTGAAGGCTGCGTGAGCACAGAATATCTGTACTTCAGGGACAGAACTACATTCCGTGACTTCCAGAGGGTTCATATTTCGTGAAAAGACCTGAAATTCTGGGGCACCTGGGTGGCTCAGTCGGTTAGGCGTCTGCCTTTCACTCAGATCATGATCTTGGGGTTCTGGGATCGAGCCCCGCATGAGGCTCTGCTCAGTCTGCTTCTTCACTCTGTCTCTCTCAAATAAATAAATCTTAAAAAAAAAAGACCTGAAATTCTGAGGGATGACAGAAAATGAGATTGTCACTAAACTACAACGTGTCACACATGATTTCTCTGGAACACTGGCTCCAAAGATTCTTTTTTTAAAAAGGGAAAGAGGGGAGCCTGGGTGGCTCAGTCAGTTAAGCCTCTGACTTGATTTTTTTGGCTCAGGTTGTGAGATCAAGCCCCACGTTGGGCTCCATGTTGGGTATGGAACCTGATTAAGATTCTTCTTCTCCCTCTGCCCCTCCCCACCTTGCACTCTCCTTCTCTAAAAAAAATAAAAAATTTAAGGGTGCCTGGGTGGCTCAGTCGTTAAGCGTCTGCCTTTGGCTCAGTTCATGATCCCAGGGTCCTGGAATCAAGCCCCACATCGGGCTCCCTGCTCTGCAGGAAGCCTGCTTCTCCCTCTCCGACTCCCCCTGCTTGTGTTCCCTCTCTCGCTAGCTCTCTGTCAATAAATAAAATCTTTAAAAAAAAATTGAGAAAAGGAAAGAACTACATGGCCAATTAAAGTAAAACAGTTCTCACCCACACATACCCCCACATACAGTCTATGGCTCTCCCAGAGGAAGACCTGATGTGTAGTATTTTCTTATATTGTGAATATATTTGACCTTGGGATTCTTTTTCAAAAACATTTACTATGATCTTGTGGACGTAGAGTTCTGCAGGATTCATTTTGTAAAACATTACTGAAGAGCAAGCACGCTTGGCTCCATTAAGACATTAAAATGTCTGTTGTGTTCACGGGACAGCCAGCCTCAAAAAGCGTGGAGTTAGACTCAACATAAGCAAAGAAGGGATAGAGGCCGTGCTGCAGGTGAATGCCCATACTGGGGACCCAGAGAGTAGGAAGTGATCATGAACCCAGCAGGGGTTTCAAGGAAGACTGAAGGCCAGAGACTCTAGGTTGCTGTTCTTACCTATTGCCTGGTACAATTGCAGGATCTCAGATGGTAAAAGACTCAGAGTGTTTAAAGTGTTGTTAAAAACTGAAGGCGTTTTGGAAGATGTCAAGAAAAAGGGTAAGATCCAACTAAACCCAAGTACCCTAGGCTGCCCACACTCAACATGAAAAACAGGTCCCAGAGTGGTACTTAAAGAAGAGAGAGATTCTGGAAAAGAAGGTATCATAAGCACAGGTTCATAAACTTCCTTTTCTATCCTGCCCAAAATACCCAAAAAGAAAAATCCATGCTGAGATATCCTGCAGAAATCCCTGAATTTCAAGAATAAGGAAAGATGCCTACAAGTATCCAAAAAATAATCCCATCACCTCCAAAAGAATAATAAATCTGACTGGCCCAACAATGAAGATCCTACTAAAAGGGACAGAATGGTTTTTAAAAAAATTTCCATTAAGGGGTGCCTGGGTGGCTCAGATGGTTAAGCGTCTGCCTTCGGCTCAGGTCATGATCCCAGGGTCCTGGGATCGAGTCCCACATTGGGCTCCTTGTTCCTTGGGAGCCTGCTTCTCTCTGTCTCTCATGAATAAATAAATAAATAAAATCTTTAAAAAAAAAATTTCCATTAAGGTCAAGAAGGCAATGGTCTCTGCTGAGCCATTACTTAACATTACGGAATGCGTTCTATTATTGTATACCTGGATCATCCAAGAGAATCACCTAAATAACCATCACAAGTAAGAAAGACATCCTATTCACAAAAGCCCAGTCACTGTCTTGACTCAAGACGAGAACCAAGTACACTCATATTTGTTTTCTGCCTCTCGATATCCCAGTAATATTACAGTAAAGGAATTTTTTTATATAAATCCACAGCCATGAAGAGAACTCAGAGGAAACCATCAGCGGATGAGAAAGTTCAACAGATTCCAGAAAGTTATTGGCAGAATGGCATCTAATGAAGGGAAGCGGAGTCACCACAAGCAGGAAGAGGCAGAAAGGGGACTGAGGCTTGGAGGAGTGTGACTGGTTGAGCAGATGCTCAGCCCGGGAGCCAGGCAGGATGGAAGCCCAAGACCAGGGCAATTAACTAAAAGTCTGTCAGTGACTAGTCAGGCCCTCCTTCCACAACCACCAGCAGCAGCACCAGAAAGGCAAAGGGAAAGATGCAAGGGGTGTTGTTTAACAGATTTGTGAGTTTGGAGCTCAGAGCAGATGTCTGGACTAAAGAAAGAAACATGGTCATCAGCATTAAATATTTAAACTCCCTGGCACTGAAATCACCTAGAGCTCGAGAGTAGACAAAGGAGAAGGGAGGACCAAGTCCTCAGTAGCCCTAATAATTTGAGGGTCAACAGATTTGGAGAAGTAGGGAAAGAGAACAAAAAGGAGGGAACTGTGAGGTGGGAGGGATCCTAGGAAGGAGTGGTGCCTCGGCAGCCAAACAAGGAGAATATTCCAAGAAGCAGGACAACAGAGATGAGTTCTGCTGAGAAGTTTGGTGCAATAAGAGCAAAGAAGTGGCCAGAAGATTTGGCAACATCGAGGTAGATATTGACCTAGACAAGAACACTTTCCTTTGTGTTGGAGCAGAAAGGCAGACCTTGGCTGACTGGTACACGGTGTGAATAAGGAATTGGAGACAGGCTGTATAAAGAACTCTTTCCAGAAGTTTAGTTTAAAATGGAGCAGAGAAATTGACAGTAGCTGAAAAAGTTACTGTTATTGATACTAGAGCAAATCTGCCTGCTAATGGGGAAGGATTCTGAAAAAGAAGAGTGAAGATGTAGCAGAGGAAAGACAGCTGTGCAGGTAGAGGAATTGGCCTTCAGTGGGGGAGAGACACTTTTCCCAAGTAACTGGAGGACAGGAGAGGTTGCTACCACAAATACAATTTGGTTGTAGAATTGGGGGTTCACATCTGATGACTTTTTCTTTAGCTAAGAGAGAATAGGGGAAATTAGAGGAGAAACATGAAAATATGAGTCACCTGAATCCTTGAAAAATTGATCCGTTGGGAGTAAATTATCTCCAGTAGCATCTGGTAGGATGTCTTACATAGAGCAAACTCAGTAAGCCGAGCTGAGTATCTCAAGGGAATCTGGAAATTTCTGACTGGTGTAGAAATTTGAACAGAAATTTGCACAGCAGATCCCCAAAATTTATGAGAGAGGGGGAGAGTTTGAAACATTAGTGAGAATTTTAGGGACAAGAGGAAGTACTTTTTCCAGAAGTTTTTATCTTAGAGGCATAAGCAAAAAATAGAGATGGAAATTTATTTGGCTGAATTGGTGAATGTCACAGTAGAAGGCTTTTTTTTTTTTTTTTA